CCAGCGGGCCGCCCCCCGGCGCCTGCTGTTGGTTCTGGAGGGATCTGTTTTCAGTTGGGGTGGGGGGCAGGGGAAGGAGCCTAATGCACCGGAGGTGCCTCGGAAATGAGAACCTTGGATGGATTCCTGGCCCTATTGATCCGCTGGCAGTTTCTGCATCCTGACATTCGTAATCTCGGGCGGCTCTGAGGTTCCAGATTAATGGGCTCGGGAGCTGTCCATCCGTCACTTCACATTAATTACTGGAGAGGTGTTTTTCCAGTGATTTACCTGACAGTGGCCTGTGATGAATACCCCTAAACAGAGTGGGTAGTGATTCATCACACAGCCACGCCCCTCCCCCACGCTCCCTTCCCCCAAACCACAGGACAGACCCCTGAGCCATCCGTCTCCATAAACACTGCCTGATGCATATTGATAGGGGGCTGGGGCCTGGCAGATAGCAAGGTGCTTCTTTGTGCCAAAGATTATGAAAAATAAATCTCTGCCAGGAAGGTGCGGTGGGCAAGCGGGGCTCCTCCACCTTGCGTGGCCAAGCTGCAGGCAGCGTGGGCTAGTGGTTGGAACACAGGACAGGGAGTCAGGACTCCTGGGTTTGCTCCCAGCTCTGCCATGGCATCACTCTGACCTTGGGTTGGTTGCATCTGGCTGCCTCAGTTTCCCCATCAGTACAACGGGGGTAGTGACCCTTCCTGGCTGGGAAATGACACCTCTGCAGCACTCTGCTCCTCGCGTGGGATTTCCACATGTGGTTATTGCTCTGCCATGGCTGTTTACCAGAGAACGTGCCAGCTTGGCAGGGGAGGGTGTGTGCTCGCCGTCCTGTGCAGGCAACCCTACCTGTGCCCCAGATCTCCGAGCCTGTCTGTGGTGTGGGGCACCATGCCCTGGCTAAGGGGCAGGGCAGAGACTCAGCGTGTCTGGGTGCTGTCTCTGCAGATGGCAGAGAGCAGGGAAGGTGCTGCCAGAGAGGGGCTTGTAGGCGCAGATGTTCAAGAGGAAATTGATTCTTGCGCTGATGAATGTAGCTTCATTACAGCCCAGCTAATTACTCACTGACCTCTCTAATGGATGGCTCTGTAGGCCAGGGATTGGCTGTGGAAGGGGGCGGGGTGCACTGCTGGAGTCTCCTGAGAGGAGAAGTTGCAGTGTGTTCCCTTGAGTTTCTCTCACCTGCCCTTAAGGCAACCCCAAGCTGTGCTGGTGAGAGCGCCAGGCGTTTGCTGGAGAGCCGGGGGATCCAGGCACAATGGCAGGGCAGCCCCAGACTCCCTCTGGCTCTGTGTGGGGTGGACAGAGGGGGGGAGTGGAGGGTCTGGGGGCGCTCCCTGTCTGGGCACAAAGACAGGGCTGTGACCCCTCTGTGGTTCTACTTCTGCTTGTCTCTCAGGAGCAGGTTCATTCCTTCTGCCTAATGGTTACGTAGAAATGGCCTGGCTCAGTGCCCAGCCTCTCACTGCACTCCGCACCTGCTGCTTCAGAGCCAGGTGTGAGAAGCCTGGTGTCTGTCATCCGTTGAATGCCCTGATCATCCCCATTACACAGCTGCTCCTTTGCTGAGCTGCCGCACGCTTGGCCCCGGGGTACCTGGTGGCACTGAGTTCCTCTGGCTAAGCGTGTGTGTGTGTCTCCTTGTATCAGCTTCAAAAGTCTTGATGTTCAGTTCCACTGAATCTCTTGTTCTTGAAAGGGAAATCTTGGTGCCTGAGCTCCCTGCTCCGCGTCAGGCTTCATCTGCATCTGTCTCTTCCTGCCTCTTATTCCTCTCCTATCTCAACTCAACGGCCTCCATCTTTCCTCTCTTTCACACTTGGGACTCTTCCAAGGCCTCCAAGAACTACACAGGGCAGTAAATGTTGTTTGTTGTGTGGTTGGTGTGTGGTTGTGAGAGAGACAGAGAGATTTGCTGGCTAAGTTAGCAAACTCTATACTTGGATTGTGGCAGGACTTCCGTCGCAGCCCCTGTGTTCTGCTGCCCAAACGTTCTAAACCCCTCCTTGCTGGGCTGAGCCGGGCGCTGTCTCTGAGCAGGGGAGCTGCTGTGGTGGAGAGAGGAAGGCCAGTCTCAACCAAGCCCTTTCAGCCTTTCTTGCATTCTGTGAAGGGGAAGAAGAAGCCCACTCCCCAAATGTCGGATGGGCTTTGCACACAGGCCAGCTTGACTGCTCTGCAGCTGTTACGGCACCAAGCGCTCTCAAAAGGTCGGTAACAAGTGCCCAATAAAACGGAGCTAGTGTTTAACCCAGGCAAGAGGCTAGTCCTCAGTGAGGGGTGACGCCAGGCCAGCAAATACAAACCCTGAACGATAAGCTATTAGAATGCGCTTCCTTAAGCACACCTTCAAATGCCCGGCGATGTTTGGCTCTGCGAGACCATCTGCGGGGCCGTGGTAGCAGCAGAGCTGATGTCTACAGGAATCTCTCCATGCGGATGGTGTCAGTAGGACAGCTGTGTCCTTAGCTGGTCCTGCTGTGAACAGTGACTAAAAACCAGCTGCCTCCTACTCGGCAGAACTGCCCCGAGGTAGGAGGGTCGTCTCTGCTGATTGGGGGCTTGGGGCTGTCTCTCACCTTAATGACATTAATAACGGTTTCCTGCTTTTTGCTCCTTAGCCCAGCCAACCTCTCCCTCCTTGGCCTGAGCCCCAGTGCTGCGGCCTGTCAGTGGCACCTGGCTGTGCTCGCTGCAGGCAGCGGGGCTGCATGGGTGATGGGGGACAGAGGCAGAGCTGTCATCGCTGGGGCCAAGGCCTGAGAGCGAACTCTTGGCGCCAGGCGGAGAAGTGGGGCTGGCAGGTAGGAAACCACCCTCGTACGTTGGACACGAGCTGTGGAGCTGCTAAGCCGCAGGGAGCCCCGCACACCATTCTGCTGCCGCTCTCCGGGCACGGCTGCGTTCCCGGCCCCTCGTAAGCCCGTTCTGCCGCAGGTGAGCTGCAGGCTGCAGAGCTCAGTACTGATGGTGTCCTGAGCCTCTGTCCGCCAGAAGGTGGGAACAGGTGACATGGGATGGCTCACTGGATGTTACCTGGTCTGTTCATTCCCTCTGGGGCATCTGGCATTGGCCACTGTCGGAAAACAGGATCTTGGGCGAGGTGGCTGTTGGGCTTTGGGCTGACCCAATGTGGCTGTTTTTATGTTCTTATGATTGTCTTACGGTGGCTCTCCAGGCGCAGACCTGTAACCCAGCTGGCCCAGGCTGCGGGGAGCCCCGCACGCCATTCTTCTTTCGCTGTTTGGGCGCGGCTGCGTGCCCGGCCCCTCATGAGCCCGTTCTGCAGGCAGAGCTGCCCCGGCAGAGCTCGGTACTGATTGTCTGCGGGTGGCTCTGCGCACGCAGGCCCGGGCAGTGATGGAGGCCACGTTCCGCTGCTTAGAAACCTTCAGGAAAGTAGAGGACTGACAGTGCGAAGTGCTGAGCGGCAGGGCCGGTGGCTCTGAGCCCCTCGGAAATCCGCCTGCAGGGTTTCGTGTTGGCTGTTGCAGTGAGCTGCAGGCTGTGGTGTTACCGAGTCGGGAGCTGGGCTGGGAAGGGCTCACTGGGGGGCTGGCCCCATCTTGGCGCAGTGTCGTGTTCCCTGTGGGGCAGTATGTCGTAGCCGGTCTGTGTTTACTGGAGGCGGGGTGGGTGGATGTATTAACTAGCCTTGCTTGGGGCACCATGGTCCCTCCTTTCCTGAGGTCAGAGTCACCTTAGCACTGGGGTGAGTGTTTGGCACTGTGTGCTGTGTCCCCTACGGACACTGGCCTGGGCACCGTGCTGGGTGATCCAGGGCGTCAAGTGTCATGAAGGAGGGGCCGGGGCTCAGGCCATTTGTTTACTTTATAACTGAGGTGGCAAAGCCCAGAGGGGCCAGGGCCTGGCCCTGCCACGGCCCGGAGACACCGGGGCTCTCCCCTGGCAAGCCCTGTCACAAATTAAGCACTGGGGCCTTCTCCACTGGAGTGTCCTGTGCAGCCAGGCTGGCCAGAACTGCAGTGGTGGCTTGGTGCAAATTAAGCACTGGGGTCTTCTCCACTGGAGTGTCCTGTGCAGCCAGGCTGGCCAGAACTGCAGTGGTGGCTTGGTGCAAATTAAGCACTGGGGTCTTCTCCACTGGAGTGTCCTGTGCAGCCAGGCTGGCCAGAACTGCAGTGGTGGCTTGGTGTATTTCAGTGGCATCCAGAAACCCCAGTTGAGATAGAGACTCTGCGGGCTTGGGTGCACACGGCCTCGTGGTGGGCTCTGCGGGCGTGGGTGCACACACGCTCACGCTCTCGCGCGCAGAGGAGCTTACAGCTGTAGGGACCCCCCCACCCCTTTGTACGCTGGAGGCTCTGAGATCGCTCAAGGCGGTAGAGCGGTTGGAGGCCGGAGGAGAAGTGGGGGTAACGTAGCGCAGGAGGGAGCCTTGGTGCTGGTGCCGTGCAGCGAGGGCAGGCAGGGAGCAGGGCTGTGGCCGGAAAGGCCCAGCGAGCTGCTGTCCTCCAGGACAGAGGATCTTTTGCGTGGTTATGCCCCTTGGGGCACGGTCCTGTCTGTGGGGCTGTAACTGGCTTGCTCTTGCTGCAAGCTCAGCAGCAGGACCTAGCTATGGGGCTGCCCCACTGGATCCTGTGGGCCGGGCTGCCTGGGAGGGGAGGGATAGTTTGTCGGAGGCCCTGGAGCCCCTGGGGTTAGAGTGAGCAGTGTAGAGACCTGGCTTGTAGGGTTGCAGTGCAACTCACTCCAATTCAGCCTGGCCAGCCCCATGGTGAGGGACGGGCGGCAGGGCCATGCCCCTGGGACAGGAGCTGCTGCTGCAGGGCGAGTGCAGGGCAGGCTGTCTCTCCAGCCCCCTCCCCAGGGCCCCTTTGGTCTCCATGGCAATGGGTTGGAAGGGAGGGGGCCTTAGTTTCGGATTTTGTCCCAGGCCCCCCAACAGCCTGTGCGGCTCGGCCCGGGGGGTCCCGTCGGCTCGGCCCGGGGGTCCCGTAGCATTGCTGCCTTGGCAATGATTTAATGCTTTCTCTCCCTGGCAGGTGGAGGTGGCACCATGCAGCAGGAGGGGGAGAAGAGCCGGGTCCGGCCCAGGAAGCCTGACATGGCCCTCTACGTGCCCAAAGCGCGACGGGAGATGGCAGCCCAAGGAGCAGGCCCTGCCAGTGGTGCATGGACCATGGGGAGCCGGAGGGAGGAGGAAAACCGCCGTGTGCTGCAGAAGGAGGGTGCCAAAGGCAGCTGCGAGAGGCAGAGCCCCAGCACTGGAGCCCATGAGCCCGTGGCCAGAGAGGGGAGGAGGTCGGAGGGGAAAACAAGGAAGCGCGTACCCCTGGGGGACAGGAAACGGGGCAGCGCCCCAGGGCAGTCCCAAGGAGCCTCTGCTGAGGGCTGGGATCAGCGTCGCACACGCCACCAAAACCATCTGGCCCCAGAGGAGCAGCCGTGTGTGCGGCTGGAAACAAACCTCCACAGTGAACAGCCCAGCGCTCAGGAGCCCCGCCTGGATCAGGCTCCCGCTCGGCCAGGGGGCAGTGAGGAGCAGGTGCCCAGCCAGCCAGGGCTCAGGGAGCTAAGCCCAAGGTGCTGGGATTCAAGGACAGGTACTGGACCTTGTTCCCGTCTGTTGGTGGAAACATCTAGTCCCCTGCTCGTGCCACCGCGTGGAGGGGAGGAGCAGGCGCAGGAGCAGAGGCTTGGGGGTTCACTGGCCCGGCTAGGCCCTTCCTCTCAGCCTAGGAATGAGAGCAGTGATGAAATATCAGAGCAGGCAGCGGGGAGCACAGGTGGCGCATCTGAATGTGCAGGCAAGAGCATCCCAGCTCCGAGCGGGGAGAGCGCAGGAAGCGCGTGCGAGCTCAGAGGGGAGGGTGCCGCAGATCCGAGCTCGGAGAGCGCAGGAAACGCGTGCGAGCTCAGAGGGGAGGGTGCCGCAGATCAGAGTGGGGAGGGCGCAGGAAACGTGGCCGAGCTTACAGGGGAGGGTGCCGCAGATCAGAGTGGTGAGGGCACAGGAAACGTGGCCGAGCTTACAGGGGAGGGTGCCACAGATCAGAGTGGGGAGAGCGCAGGAAGCGCGTGCGAGCTTACAGGGGAGGGTGTCACAGATCCGAGCGGGGAGTGTGCCGCAGATCCAAGCCGGGAGAGCGCAGGAAACGCATGCAAGCTTACAGGGGAGGGTGCCACAGATCCGAGCGGGGAAAGCGCAGGAAACGTGGCCGAGCTTACAGGGGAGAGTGCCGCAGATTCAAGCGGGGAGAGTGCAGGAAGCATGTGCGAGCTCAGAGGGGAGGGTGCCACAGATCAGAGTGGGGAGAGCGCAGGAAGCATGTGCGAGCTTACAGGGGAAAGTGCCGCAGATTCAAGCGGGGAGAGTGCAGGAAGCATGTGCGAGCTCAGAGGGGAGGGTGCCACAGATCAGAATGGGGAGGGCGCAGGAAACGTGGCCGAGCTTACAGGGGAGAGTGCCACAGATCAGAGTGGGGAGAGCGCAGGAAGCGCGTGCGAGCTTACAGGGGAGAGTGCCGCAGATTCAAGCGGGGAGAGCGCAGGAAGCGCGTGCGAGCTTACAGGGGAGGGTGCCGCAGATCAGCCGTGCGGGAGGGCAGGCAGCGTGTCTGACAGCGAGGGGGGGAGCACTGCTGTCTGTCCAGAGCAGGGGTGTGGGCAGGAAGGAGGCATGCCTGAGCGTGCCAGGGCGAGAGCGCACAGCAGAGCCCATAGGACAGACTCTGGCGCTGGGGCCCTCCCGGAGCGTGTGGACAAGGCCAGAGGCAGCGTACCGCTGTGTGGGGAGGAGATGCCCTGCGGCTCAGGCCCCAGTGCACTGGGGGACACCGAGCACTCGCCAGCTCATGGGAGCAGGGAGCACAGCCGGTCTCCGGAGATCCCGGGCAGCTGCTCGGCAGGGAGCCTGGCTGAGGAGCTGGACTGTCCAGGCGGGGTGGCGAGGCCATTACATGGCTTGCGAGCTGATGGAGAGCCTGGGACGGAAAGGGAGGATGATGGTGGTGTGATCGAAGGCGGCATGTCCTGCTGGGACAGCAACACCGAAGGGCCTGAGCAGTCCAGTGCCGGAGCCCGGAGCGACAGCAGTGCTGCGGCAGAGGGGAGCTGGGACTCGCTGTTTAACGCCGATGGAGACTGCCTGGACCAGCGCCTGCTGGAAGAGGTATGTTCTGTCGGCTAGGCTCAGGCCAGGCCAAAGGGGCTGACCCCACCCGCCAGCTGCCCTCACTGCCCGTGCTTGGGTGTATGGGGTGGGGAACAGCTCCCGACGCGTCCGGTCAGGCTGCTTTGGTGCTGCAGGAGCGGTCTGTACCCCAGCCCAGGCCTCAGATGGTACCATAGACCATGCTGTGAGCCCTGTTCCCTGCAGCCCCTGTGCACCTGTGGCCTTGTCCTCGTGCGTGGTGGTGATAAATGTCACCCCGATGGATCAGCACTTCGCTAGGCAGGGTGTAGCTAGCCTGTGGAACGCACGGCCGCTGGCTTCACTGCCGGCACGAGTGGCTGGGGGATCAGGAAAGGGTTCGATGTTCTTGTGGCTGAGGAGAACATCCAGAGTTACAGGGGAAAATGGAAGGGCCCAAACCTGTCTGATGCAGGGCCAGAGCCACCCACTCCCTGCCAGAGGCTGGAGAGAAACCTGCCTCTGCAGTGTCTGGGCCTGGTCACTGGGAGATGGGCCCAACTGGCCGTCCTTGGGTCACCCTGAGTGTGGGGGAAGGGAGGGAAATGCTTTTCAGTTATAGTACCTACAGTGTGCCCGGAAAAGGCCACGTGCTGCACCTGCGCCCTCGTGACACAGACTTGTAAGAAAGAAACAGGCTGAGACACATGGCTTCCCACTGAAAGAGCACCATGAAGTTTCAGGGAAACGACAGCTTCTTAATCAGTTGTGGTTCATTACCATATCTTCCCGCAAGCACAGGGCTAAATTTACTGCAATGAGCTGGTTAGCACTAGGAAGCAGTTTTCCTGTTGACTGAGGAGGAAAGTTCAGCTTTCGCTGTGAAGCTGGAAATCCATTATTACATTTTCAAGCGATAGTTTGAAACCAGTAATCTGCAGAATGACATTAATGTCCGTAAAGTAACAAACAGGCCTAATCTTGTTCAAATGAATGTCCAGCCTGGTTCCCAAGTACCGTCTGAGTGTGTCATTCTAGTGTCTATGAAGAGCTGAAATTAACTAAACAGCTTCATTACCGAGGGGTTAGCTAATAAACCCTCCAAACCGTGGGATAACATCAGCTGTTACAGCTCCGCAGAGAGCATCGGTGGGAAGCAGTTTCAGATTTAACACAGTTTAATTCATGTGCGTATCTGTGCTGAAGTAAAACCCCTCTCAGGACTGCAGTGCTTGGCGGGCCAGCCCCAGCCCTGAGGGAGGCACTTGTGACTCCTCCCAAAGATGTGGGCTAAATTCAGGGGGTTGGGAACGGGGATACAAGCTAAACGTCTGGGGTCAGTGGAACTCACGTGCTGCGGGGTGGCTTTTCAGCCACGTGTAACTTGCCCGCACTGGTGGGGGATGTTCACAAGCATGTGTAGCTGTCACCCTTGCTTCCTTACACTCTGCTCTTAGTTGCTGGTCTTGCCAGAGCCCCATTGGCCCCTTGGTTTGTCCCCAGAGCAAGTCCCGCTGCTTTGCCACTGTGACGAAGCGGGACTGTTCTTAATGGTTCCTCTGAATAGTGTGGGGGTGCCTCAGTTTCCCCTAGGCAGTTCTTAAGTATCTAGGGGGTGGGGGAAGGGTGTATGATCACTGCAGAGCTCTAGAGGGCAGGTGTGTGCAGGGGTCTGGACACAGAGAATGGCCGACACCCTGTTTCCTGGCAACTGATGGCCTGGGCCCTCCCCCCCTGCAAGGTGAGAGCTAAAGGGTTGGAGAACAAAGGAATCCGGTGCCCTCCTGGCCCGGGAAAGGGACAAAGCCCAGAGGAGGAGGGGCTGGAGGGAGTTTCAGTTTGGGGCTGGCTGAGACATGGAGTGAAGGGCAGACGTGGTTGTCTGGCTCACTGCCCCCCAGAATGGACCCAGCTGAGGGGTCCTGTTCTCTGCACCTACAAGCTCTGTTTTAGACCATGTTGCTGTCGTCTAATAAACCTCTGTTTTACTGGCTGGCTGAGAGTCCCGTCTGAATGCGGAGTTGTGGGGCAGGACCCTCTGGCTTCCCCAGGAAGCCTGGGCGGAGTCGCTGTGGGAAGCGCACGGAGGGGCAGAGGATGCTGAAGGCTCCGAGGTCACACCCAGGAAGGTGGAAGCTGTGTGAGCTGTGTGTCCTGCAGACAGGCTGCTCCCAGAGAGGAGACTTCCCCAGAGTCCTGACTGGCTTCGCAGGGTGCAGTTCCAGAGCTTCGCCCGGGGACTCCGTGACAGCCACTTACGCCACTGTTCATGTCTCCATGGAACTTGTTCTGGCCATTTTATACAGAGAAGAGAATCTAATCTGGGCTAGGAAAGACCTTGGTGCTGCTGAAGAAACAGACATCTGTGAATTGCAGCACACCTGATGTCTGCCTGATGTACCATGAGTGGGGGTGACACAGATGCAGGACTGTGTGCCCACCGGAACCAGAGACTGCATTGCAGTGTGTTTGTGCAAGGGGCGGAGTTAAGGTGAAGCAAGAGTTCATCTTAACCTCTGCATTCCCTAGCTCTGCCACCCTGGCATTGCTGCTGCATGGTAACGGGAAGCATCTGGAACTTCCTTCTGCTGTTTAAAATAAAGAACAAACTTAGAAATCAGAAAATAATCTGCCTGCGTGTACGGGCAGGGGTGCACACAGTGGTCATGTCGCTTGGCCTTTATCAGCCTGCGGCCAGTCCAGTTAGAGCCATGCAGGCCCCTGTTGTGGGTTTGGTTACCCTGTTGTAAGGGTGCTGGTATCTGAAGTGGATTCCCATCAATATACAAACTACGCTATCCCAGTCCGAGCACCTTCCTAGCAATATTCTGATTATTATTCATCTACATTAGTGTAGTGCCTAGGAGCCCGGCCACAGACTGGGACCCTGCTCTGCTAGGCGCTGCACAGACAGAACAAAGATGGTGCCTTCCCCGGCAAGCATCCAGTCGAGTATGATACAAGTCAGCAGCTGGAGACAGACAGGTGAGGGCGTCCAGGGAGCAATGAGACAGGATTGGGCGGGGCATTCAGCACGCCCTATCCTTGTTAAGTATTTTGTAGGCTTCATGGCAAAGGAGGGTTGTGAGAGGCTTTGTGGACATGCACAGGGAGCCCCTCCCAAGCAAGGGGCAGCTTGGGAGAAACACAGAGGTGCTTGTTTGAAAATGTAACCAGTGGGCGATGGGGCTCGTCGCAGGCAGGAGTCAGCCTGTGATGCTACCAGTGCAGAATCACTGCCCGGCCGACAGCTAAATCAGCACCTGGAGGGTGTGGGCTCGGGGGAGGGACGGCCGGCCAGGGCAAAGCGCCAGCAGCCGTGAGTACAGAGCTTGCAGTGCGCTGTCTCCTGAGGGTTGTGCTCACCCCAGCAGTCAGGCCTGCGGGTGGGTGGGAGGTAGGTTGTGTGTGGCGGGGGCGGATGTGTCTGGGTGGGGCTGGGGGAGGTGTCGCTGTAATGTGAGGGTGCACAGGTACTGTGTGGTTCTGGGGTGCGGGGGAGATGAAACTGTCCCCGGGTTGCTGGAGTCAAAATCTCTGTGGCTTGGTCCAGGGTTGCTGGGTGGCTGCGGAGCAGCAGGGAGGGTCTCTGGCAGAGCCGTTAGCTGCAGCCCTGTGGAGATGGACCAGTGGGGACCTGGGTGTGCTGCTCTCTGCGTTCCCATTGTCCGCGGGGGCAGTCAGCACAGCAATGTGGGTTTAGCCTTTTCTGCAAACGTTCCCCCCTTGGTCCCAGGATGGCATCCCACAATGCCCTGTGCTGGGACGTCCCTGAGAGCGGCTGGGCAGCGTTTGCAGGGACTCTGGGGTTTCCCCAAGCCATGCGGAGGTGGCGTTGCAGGGCAGGATGGAAATAGAGCACCTTAAAGATTTGGAAGCCCCTCATGCTTTGCTGAAGAGCCTGTTAGTGGGGACACCTGGGCTTCCTTTGTTATCAGGCCCCTTTGCCTGCGGGAGAGGGGCGGCTGTGCAGTGAGGAGTGTGGATGTTGTGGCTAAGATGTCGTTAAGGTTCCATCCTATTTACAGTGATGATTCAGCCTTTTTCTTTTTTATGCAAGACACACACGTGTCTGCCCCCAGATTTCCAGCACAACTTCTCAGGGCAGCGCTAACTTCATCAGTTTTCTGGGCTCTCAAAAATTCATTCTTCAAGTGACGGCCCCTAGCTGTGTTGCACGCATGGGGTAGGCATGTGCACCATGCACCTGAGTCTGGAATTTTTTGCAAGCCATATCTGTTGGCCGCACATAGAAGATCAGGGTTGGAAGGGACCTCAGAAGGTCGTCTAGTCCAACCCCCTGCTCAAAGCAGGGCCAACCCCAACTAAATCATCCCAGCCAGGGCTTTGTCAAGCCTGACCTTAAAAACCTCTAAGGAAGGAGATTCCACCACCTCCCTAGGTAACGCATTCCAGCGCTTCACCACCCTCAGCTCTCCTCATGCTCCAAACCAAGGGCATAAAAGATGGTGCCCCCCTGTGGTCTGAAGCCTGTTCCTCAGACTCGTCATTCTCTATAAGCTGAGCAATCAGCTACTTCTTAGGTTTCAGAGGAACAGCCGTGTTAGTCTGTATTCGCAAAAAGAAAAGGAGTACTTGTGGCACCTTAGAGACTAACCAATTTATTTGAGCATGAGCTTTCGTGAGCTGTAGCTCACGAAAGCTCATGCTCAAATAAATTGGTTAGTCTCTAAGGTGCCACAAGTACTCCTTTTCTTTTAGCTACTTCTTAGTGAGCCTCCTGATGCTCAGCCCTCTCTCCCTGCAGAGATGTGCCAGGTTGCTCTTATGGAGCTGGTTATAGACCATTTCCAGGCTGGTTCCTTTCAATACCCTCATTCTTTCGCTGGCAGCCACTCGCTGCCAAGCGCCTGCACTTGCAGGCCACCGTCTACAGGGGGCATCCCTGGTTTAGATTGGATATTAGGAAAAACTTTTTCACTAAGAGGGTGGTGAAACACTGGAATGCGTTACCTAGGGAGGTGGTAGAATCTCCTTCCTTAGAGGTTTTTAAGGTCAGGCTTGACAAAGCCCTGGCT